CATATTTGTCTCAGTGAATCATTAATTTTTGACAGACACCTGTACAAAATACTTGGACAAAAGCCAGCTAAGATTTTCTGTTATCTTGCATGTTTTATGAATCTATTCACGTCTAAATGCAGCACTTTTTTTTTGCAATGAGGCATTTGTTTTTATACTAAAATATCTGAATTACTTTGAATAAAGCTGGAAATTATGTCCCTTAAAATAATTAAACAAATAAGGCACAAATGTTTTTGTAAGATATTTACATCTTTAAAGGACATTCGGTAGACTGATTCCCCACTGTTAGTTCAACCCCAAAACTTTTTTGTATTCAAAATTAATTATGACAATGTATATTTATATTGAAACAAACTATGTTAAAGGGAATTATATTATATAACAAAGGGCAAGGTCACCAGAGTTCAACTATGTTTAACTACAGGCACCACACAGCTTAGTGATTGTCGTCATGGTGGTGTTTTTTTCAACTTATATTCATGTTCTTATATGCAAATCTCTGAATGATGAGAGTGTGAAACAACTTATGTTGTATGGACTCTGAAGTTCTGTATCTACAAAATTAAAAATCCAGCTGAATACTGTTAGCAGAATGAGTTATTACTCCAGAGTTATAATTGGAATCAAAAATTGAAATCCTTTGGATTGAATAACTGGGAGCAGCTCTTGACATTGCCACAAAATAAAATATAGATGCTATATCATTCACTGAAGAATCAGGTTTGTTTTCTCTTTGGCTTAGGTCACACCAGAAACTGGATGCTCAACAATCATAATGTGGTAGGAAGATAGTCATACAGTTATGTCATGCTGTCTCTATTATGAAATAAATTATGGTGGCAAAAAGAAGGATCATTTTATTCTAATTCTATTTTTTTTTAATTTTCAGCATCATGTGATTTTGGTGGGAAGACATGGTACAATGGTGATATGTGGAACTCATCTGCCTGTGAATATTGCATGTGTAATGACGGGATAGTGACGTGTCTCACTGCTGAGTGTCAGAAAATAATGTGCAAAGAGGTAATTGTCTCTTGTTTAATTTCAAATTTTATGCTTTAAACTGTTAAATTTCCACTACTAGAACGAAATTTGGTGATTTAAAGATGAATGAAAAAAATATGTGCAAGTCCCTGTGGTCAGATCACCTGTCTAATGTACCGCTGTGAAAATTTTGTGATTTTTCGCTTTTTGAAAAACTCAGGAACACTTGTCCTGTGAGAAATAGAAACAAGTTACTGAATATTGTGGGCTTTATTTATACCAATAGTTATAAATTTAAACTAAATAATTTCAGCGTTAAAGGTCTACATATCCTACTTGTAAGAGTTCTCATGTTTTTTTTCTACACATTGAATGTTGTAGCACATCAAATATTTTGCAAATAAAAATAATACAGTCAAGTGAAACTAGAATATATTGGGGATAAAGAAAAACACAATCTATAATAATGAAACAAGATCCAGCCATATTATGACGCCACAGACTGCCTTAATTAGTAGCATGTAGCACCTTTCATGCATAAAATTATAAATTTGGGTAGTATTTTGAATATTTTGAAATTCTAATCACTCTTCAATTATATTAGGGTGAAGTTGTTGTAAAAAGAGATGGTAACTGTTGTCCTCAGTGTACAGTACCATCAGGATATTGTATATACCAAGGAAGGACTTACAGGGTGAGTAATGCAAATATATCATCTTAAAGTTATGTATATGACTGTCAAAGTGAAGACAACTAATAACAATTCCCCTTTAACTTTTGTTATTGATACGATGTTACAAAGTTAAAACCCAGTTCCAAGCATTATAACTGATAAACCAGTACAAGTTCCAGTTACTATAGTGTTGACGCTGAGTCCAGTACTAATTTATTTTTCTACAATTTAACCATCTCACATTTAGATAATCATTGTTAGTCTACAATGTGTGTTTGTCCACATTGTTAAGAGGTAAAAAAAAATCACATTAAAATCACATTAGAGTCATAATTATCATGGAAAGTATATTCTTAATTTTGATGGAGTTGCTCACATCTCATTTGCATACATTTTTGTATGTATTGTGCAGTTCTTATTCCTGAATAATATTTCATAATTGCCTCGAATTTTTCCTGTTCATATGATATGATCAAGATCATGGTTACTGCCATGCTATTGTTTGGATGATGTGCATGGAACATACTCAATGTAGTCGTTGCACATCGTGAGAATATGTAATGTTGTTTGTATGAATCCTATCGCCTGTATACAAAGTTACTTTCCTATATTATATTAAATCTAGATATTTGTTAATTATTGTTTATTTCAGAATGATGATGATTGGGAGCCCGATGTGTGTCTGTCTTGTCACTGTAATGCGGGTGATGTCAGTTGTTTCAGGAGATCATGCCCTCCATGTCCACAAGGCATGGTTGCTCAGCAATTCAAAGGAGAATGCTGTCCTGATTGTACACCAGGTAATGATCTAACAGTACATCCAGAAATATTCACTAGACCTCGGGTCAGACAAAATGGTGGTTAGATGCTGTTGTTAAAACTGTAAAAATTGTGTGGTAGTGAATATTTTATTTCATTTTATTTGGAGTCACATCAACTTTTCCTTGGTTAAGAAGTCACAGTAACTTTCACCGGAGTCCAAGGGAGTCACAGTGACTTTTATTGGAGTCCAAGGGAGTCTTCCCACAGCATTGTAGGAAGTTATAGTGACTTTCACCAGGGAATTAGGGAGTCAGTCACTTTTAGTGGGATTCTAGGGAGTCAGTACTGTTACAGTACTTTTTAAATCTAAAATATCTAAAATACTGTGGAATACTTTATTTTCGCTGGAATTAATTTTCGCTGAAAAGGCTTTTTGGGCGTTTTGGTTGGAATTTATTTTTACTGATTTTTTAATGAGTTTAATGTGAAATATAGGAAAAAAGTATATTCGCAGGATTTTATTACGGAATCATCCCTTCAGCGAAAATAACGAAAATAAATTCCAAGCGAAAATAAAGTATTCTATAGTATTATATACTTCTTTAATTTTGAGAATAATCATTTCTCTTAGACAGGGAGTCACATGACATCTGTTACTTTTGTTTCCTGTGAATGCTATCAAATGTAAACCTGTGTATCAAAATTTACCAGATTATAATAATAATTCTAATGTTAATGTTAATAATGCATGTTAGCCACATCCATATTTAAACATGTATTATTACATGCACTATTAAATGCACTTAATATGTTTATCTTTACATTAATTTACTTTTTTTTTCAATTTCCAGTCACTTGTAGTAATGATTGTATTGGTTGCGACATTAGAGGTTGTCTACAGTGTAAAGATGGGAGTAAGTTATTACAAGACGGTCGATGTGTTGACAGATGCCAGCCAGGTTATTTTCAATCTGAACATAAGCTATGCCATGGTAAGTTGTAATGTTTACAGTGAAGAGTTGTAACATTTCAGTTTTATTAGTTTTGCATTGTGATTGTTTGTGCTACAATAACTTAAATTAAAAATAAATTAAATTATTTTATTTTAGCTTGAATTTATTTTTGCTGAAAAGACTTTTTGAGTGTTTTGTATGTATTTTATTTTTATTGACAAGTTGAATGTTAAAATATAGGAAAAAAGGTTTATTAACTGGATTTTATTTTCACTGAAACATTCCTTCAGCGAAAATAAAGCATTTTACAGTAAATGACTTCTTCTTGAAAACCACTAGCCTGATTGCTTTGGTATGTTGGTACCTTGGGTTGGATTCTATCAGATATGTAACCCGGTAATAACAATTGCAAAGATTATGATTATTTTCCAAAAAAATTTTCATTCAAACTGTTAAGAATGCCAATGGGGTTGTAGTTTCACTTCAATTCATATGAAATGATGAGAATAGAAATTCAAAATCAAAGAGATTGAACAATGGATTTGAAACTGTGTTGTGTAAGCAAAAAAACTTGGATTGGTTGAAATCAATGTATATGATTGGACAGAAAAGCTTCCAGTGTTGACCTAAGAATCTTAAAATTGTACTTTTTATTTCAGCTTGCCATCCTTCTTGTGCTGAATGCTCAGACGGCACTGAGTATCATTGCATAACATGTGCTGATGGACATATGTTGAAATATGGACAATGTGTTGTAGAGTGTGGACCTGGCTACTTCAAACGGGGAAGTTCATGCTTTGGTGAGTTAGAAATTTCTCAAATCATACATGGATATTTCATTTTAGGAAAAAATGCATATTACTAATTTGATGGTCTAATGAATGATTTAACCTTCAAATTCAACTTTTGTAAATTTCACAAAATAAACTAGCATACTTTTTGATATTACAGAAAATTACAGAAAAATGTGCAAAACGTAAATCAACTATTTGGTTGAAAAGATTGAGTTCATATAGTTTGAATGTGACATCAAGCAATAGTAGATATATCATGTCACGTCATTATGGAGTTTGTGGCTGCAACTTAAAATGCATCCTAAAATGTAAATTGAATCATTTAATTTTGAACTAGAATATCTTTTTTTATGTCAAATGTCAAAAGGCTTATCTTTCAGAAGGATACATTGTATATGCCGTTCAGATACCCTTACTTCATGAAAATTGATGATCATCAATAGTGTATAGCATGCATTAGTTGAATCTTAAAATGTTTTACAACGCTATAACCTTTTTTTGTCCTGTTTCTATATTCTATTTCACACATAATGCAGTATCTTGCAGGGAATAGGTCTATTTAAATTCCTGAAAAAAAACTAAAATTTCACCTACTCTGAAAATTCAACCACCTAATTATTTGGCAGATTTTTGTAATTTATTGACCGCCAAAATATCAACCCCATCAGAAATTGCTCACTTATTGTTACTCCAAAAATTTGTTTAGAAATGTGACTTTCTATTTTGACGTAGGAAAGTGTATGTAATCTTGTTTGACGTTCAATTTGCAGTGCAACTGTATATAATCCAACTTTTATATTTGTTGAATTTTTACTCTAAAAAATTTATCGTTATTTTATTTTTCAAACAAAACATTCAAAAGTGGCCGAATTTTTAGAGTTTTTACGGTGCCATTTGATTCTTATAACAGTATGGTTTTGATAGGATTTGCAGTTTTGCTGTGTTCTGGGTAATTAGTGTTAGTGCTGTAATTATAAGGTCATCATCTGTTATCATCCTTGCATATGATGTTGAGCTATAATTTATATTTTCAGAGTGTCACGCATCATGTTTAGATTGCACTGGAGAGATGAAGTCACAGTGTTTGACATGTGCTAATACCACTAATGTAATAAGAAGACGGAAATGTGTTGAAGAATGCGGTGCCGGGTTTTATATCAAAGATGGAATCTGTCTTGGTAAGTTTGTTTTCTCTATTTGTCATAGTGGTATGTTATGCTATTGCAGAAATCTGAAAGATGTAATAGAGAATGTTGCATTGTATGTGAATTATGCCAAATCTGACAACACTGCATAGATGAGGAAAATGTGTTGACAATGT